AAAAGGAAAAGAAGATAAATGAATGAGAACAAGAATAAGAATACAGAAGCACAAATCAAATGGTTAGATCACTAAAGCATTCCAAAGGTCAGGACCAGGAAGGGCAAGGGCTGTAAGGCTTAAACAAATATCGACCTGAGTAATAAGAGTCTAGAACAGACCATTGCAGTAAACAATCCCTCGGTTAAATTTTGAGAATGTGTGCAATTGCATGGTGGAGATTTGAGTCCATGCCAACTTCCTCCTTATGTGGGGAAGTAAGTTAAGCCTATTAGGGGTACAACAATCCTTTTGGTATTGAGTGCTTAACTGCCTATCCTGCTGGCAGCAATGTGCTACCAGTACATGTTGGACAACCTTGCTTGACACTGCTGCATGACAATTGAAAATTCTCACCATCATTATGTTTGTCACTGATAGGAACCTCATTAAAAGCTTGAATTTTTATCAGTCTTTGACAAATAGTTGTTATCAGTCAATGGAAAATTCTATAACATAGTTACACAAGATAGCCAACTTTGAATTACACAAAACGTCTGACTGTTATAACACTGCTCGTTTGAGAGAAGGAAAGAGAAAAAACTATTTCTCGTTAACTATCTTCAGGTGCAAAATTTCGGTGGACCTTATTGTTGATGTTTCATATCTAAAGCCTCTAACTCCTCATAAACTACAGGTTCAACAATCATAGAACACTTATATCAATCGGCTCCAAACTAACCACTACATCAATGAAGAAATCTCAGATTAGTTATTATAAACAAGAGTATTCTTTAACCACCTTTTTAAGACTAAATGAAGATAATAATCACAATGAAAAATGCAAAACCAATGGCGCAACCTGAAATAAATTCAAAACTGGAACACAATCACACACACACACACATACGTATATGAAGAACTGGGAAAACGGATGAGGATGAGCAATAAGGAAAACACTAAAAAACTCGATCTTTAGAGACAATATATCATTTCACTATTTCACTATCTCTTATTTGAATTTGTCAATAGTCCAGAAGGAGAATGACAAAATACATGATAAATATGATTCAGAATTCTACTGATCAAGATTAGCAGCACTTAAAAATCAAGATACTCCATTCGTCAAGGAATTTAGTTAATTATGGGGAACTTCAGTCGGTTAGGAAATAAAATGGCATCTCATCTGGTTTAACTGACACAAATTGGACATCTCATGTGACTAACACTTTTAACAGTAAATACACAACTCTTGAATGCAAAGCTGGCATCTGCAAAAATATTTATAATAAATAGCGATGTTATAAAATCCCACTTTCAAAAGTAACGTTTTTCCCTGAGATAAGTAACACCAGGACGCAATTTATTTTTTAACATTCAAGAGAATTCTAACCTGTGACATTCAAATAAACAATCCGTACCCAAACACATTAAAAAAATTTACATCCAAATTTGAACTCCATATGGACCAACACACAAGCACATGTGAAATTCAACTCCAGATTGTCTAAGCGAAAGAAAACAAGAAACCATCCCGTCAATGTCCGTGTTTGTATCTTACTTTTCCAGTTCATCCATCCTAATTAACGAGAATATAACAGCTAAATTTACCTGTACCAAGTAGCTAAACTAAAATAAAGAAGCATTATATAACGTTTAACTGGACCAATTACAACATCCAACACATCACTGAACCAACCATTGTGGAAAAATGCATCCCTAAAATTCGAATGGATTTAGAGAGTCCAATTCTCAACAGCACTACATCCCCACAGTTAAATTGCAACCAGATGGATATCAAAATGTTTTAGCGAACGAATGATCAATACAATTAGAAAGTAAAAGAAGAGAGAGTGAGAGAGAGAGAGAGAAAAGAAAAAAAAAAGAAAAAAAAAACGAATTAACCTGCCATTTTCGGAACAGGAATCGATTGAGTGAAGTTAAAACGGCAGAGGAGGAGAACGAAAGTTAAAGTTTGGCGAGGAACACACGGGAAAAGGAGGTCCAAAGTCTGAAATATGGCGATGAGGGGATGCAGCTTAAATTGCGACAAGTGTTTCGTTCGACAATTGATTATGCGAATAAACGCGACTACGAGAAATCTCCCTTATATATATTAATTCTTATATATATTAATTCAGAACGCGCTGAGCCTATGTGGCAGGCTCGCATGCTTCGGGATCCTATGTGGCAAATTTACATGTTTCGTTATTAGGTTTGGATTATCTATAAATATGTTGATTATTTATTATAGGGGCGCGGTCCGGGACGGTCCTGGATTTGACTTGTCTATATACTGATCCCACTTTTATCAATCAATTATGAACGGTTCGAAATGAGGCACTGTCCCCACCCATGTAATACATGGGTGTTGTACTAGTAATTACATTAATACGAATTTCGTTCAAAGAGAACTATTGTTGATACGTGTGTCATTCACCGAATATACTATAATATTTTATTATTTAAATATATTCAATTATTCAAGATAATATGTTAATTTTATCAGATACAACATATCAAGCCAGTAATAATATAAAGTTCATTTGACTATTTTTATTATTTTAAATTTATACTAGTAAATATCTTGTGCACATGCACAGATGTACATAAAATATAATAAGTAATGTTTGAGAATTTAATATTAAAATTTTAGATAATGAGCATATTACATTTTTAAAATTTAATCATTAGAAAAAATGAATTAATGATTGCTTATTATTAAAAACAATTGTTAATTATCATTAGATAATAGCAGTTTGATTATTATTATTATTATTATTATCATTATTATTATTATTATTATTATTATCATCACAAAAACAATTGTTTATAAGATTCTAAAGTTGTTTGACTATGCTATTAAAACAATTTACTAATTATTTTTAAAGAAATTTTTTCATGAGATACAAAAGAAAAAGATAATATTGATGTTAAAATAAATAACTTGAAACAAATTGTTTATAATTGTGCAATTTATATTTATTGTGAATTATTATTAGTTGGTATTAGCATTAATTATTATATAATATAATAGAAAAATACATGATTACACTCAATAGGATGTATTAATGTGAGAAGTAAAAAAAACATTAATGATAAATTTTGTAACCGAAAATGGAGGAAAAATTTTAGAGGTTTTATTAAATGCTATTAGCTAGTAATTATATATATATATATATTTGTAATTTTTTCTATTTAATATATAAATTTTACTATTTATAAATCTTATAAATATCTAAAATTTTAAATTAGCTAGTAAAATTTTACTATTTTACATATTGTTCGATAAGTAATTAACGTTTAAGCCATAAAATTTATTTTCCTTTATTATAATTCTAGATGAATGAAATATTAATTGTTTGGTAATTAAATTTAAATTGTAGTAACTTTAATCCATTATGCAATAGATTTTTTTCATAGCAAACTATTTTATTTTTATTTTTTTCTATGCAACACGTATACTTAACGCGTTTCGACGTCTCGCGCACGTGCACGACTCTCGTCCGACCGTCGGAGCCGAACCACCGAGTGCGTTCCCGTGCACCGAGTCCGAGTCGAACCAAGGAGTGTGTTCCCGTGCACCGAGTCCGAGTCGAACCATGGAGTGCGTGCCGTGCACCGAGTCCGTCCGATCTACCATCAACGCGCCGTTTTTCGTTAACCGTGGTCCAAGCACACCTCCGCGTCAGTGACCGTGGCACTGTTTATAAATCCATGCTTCGGCAAAGCCGTATCAACTGTGTTCGTGCGTTCCCGTGAGTTTCTACGCTGAACCCGAACTACGGTTAGGTCGAGTTGCACATAGTCAAGCCAATGATCGACCGTCTCCGAGTGAGCCGCCGGTCCAGTCTAGTCCGCACAGTCCGGACGGTTCGCAGAGAGTTACAGTCCAGTCAAACCAGTCTGGGCAGTTCGAACGGTTCACAAAGGAATTCTAGTTCAGCCGAATCAGTCCGAAAGGTTCGAGATATTTCAGTCAGATAGAAGATCTAGATAGATTTAAGATCCAGTTAGATTTAAGATTTCAGTCAGACTAAAGTTCCAGACTTAGAAATATTTCAGAGAATTCTAGTATGCCTCAACGACAATAAATTTTTAAAATCAGCTCGTAAATCCCTAAAATTATTTTAAAACCGAGTGCGCGAACTTAGACAGATCACATAATAAAATTCGAGTTTTATTTTGAGCCCAGTACTTAGAGTATTTCGCTCATAAATTTTGTAGCTTGAGGAGAGTCTAGCCTCCACATGCTACACAACTTTATTCAGCATTTGCATTTGCCAGCATCTAGGTGGGGACCCATGTACTGTGTATCTCATTGCTTTTAATTGTTTATCCTGTCTGAAGTTTATATGTGATTAAATTGACGGACCGAGACAAATGAGTGATCCCGTCTTGGTCAAGATTTCATATTTCAGTTATGACTTGGATGTGTGGTGATTAGGACCCGTCCTAAGTCTAACGTCCAGATGGGGTGATTGGTTCCTTTCCTGGATTTCTGTGGGATGGGACCCCAAAAGTGTGCACATGACTACCGGATAGTCCGTTAGTCCCATAGTTTGCCAATTTATTTATATATATGTTGATTTCATGATTTGTCAATAAATGTGATGTATATTCAGTGTCGGTTCCTGCGGAGCATCGTTGATTCATTTATGCTCACGCCTCCCCACTAACTATTTTCCAGGTAACGGAGTCCCGTGTGGCGCGTGAGCTCGAGATGTGGTGGTGGTCATATCGCAGACATTTTGATATGATATGTCATGTATTTGTTTGAGCATGTTTGAATTATTTGTCTTTTGATGTTGCTTGGTTGTGTTTGTTGAACTTGAACTTGCTTCCGCTTTTCCTGAACTGTATTTCAGAATTTCAGACTAGTATTTCAGTATTTGAGAATTTTCAGACTGCATGTGTAATTTCAGTCAACTTTCATGGCCTTAATTCTAAAATGAATTTTACTTGGCTGCATGCATAATAGATTAAAGATTAAAGATTAAAGAATTAGATTAAAGTTGAGTAGCATCCCGCAGTTAGATTAAAGTGTTTTCGAAAAAGTTAATTAGAGTTTTCAAAAACTAAATCAGTGTTTTTCCATTATAGCGCAAAAAATTTACTCTGATTTTAGTAAGTTTAGGCAGGGTGTTACAAATTCTTTCCAGGCAGTGGTTTCGACGTACCACATGACGGTCAAATATCCGGTTGAAGAAAATGTAGGGGAGATTGCTGGCGACCAATTGGATTTCCCAAAGCCTCTCGTTTTTCTTTTTCTAAGACCTCTCGGTTTTATCTGAAACTTTTTATCAAAGAAGAACTCTCTTTTCTACACAATATGAGGCGTGATTTTTCATGAAAAAATCTGATCATGCGTGTAGAATAATTAAAAGAATATCAATGTTGGAGGATAGAGAACTTAGTGTATTTATAGGCCACAATAGGAACCCTAAGGAGGTGCTAAATATGAGTTTTTCAATGTAGAATTAGAAAATCTAAAATCCTCCAACCCCTTCCCTCCTAGAAGCTCTAATCCATTTCAACTTAATTACCCCTTCTAGAAGATCTCAAAGTCTTCCATCCTTGGTAATATTCTGGAAGAAATTATATAATTTTAATTAGGAAAATAATAGAAGATAAATTAATTTCTTTTTCCTAATTGAATAAATACTAAAACATTCTACTAGAGTAACATTATTGCTCTTACCATTTAGCTCCGAATTACAATTAATTTGTCTCTGACTTGTCTATTGACAAATGACTCGATTTACCTCCCCATGATTACGATATAACGTCCATTGATTAACTTAATTACTGACAATAAAATTAATCAATTTTTTTTTTATCACGTAGGATCCGAAAATAATACCTTTCAATTCATTATCTATTGTGTTGGAAATTAATCCGTCGGTCAGGGTGGACATAATAATCCTTCTTGAGCTTATTTCGGGGACGTCATCAACTCAGCTAACCAGGACACGGTGATCGTAAACAATCTTAACGACACATCATGCAGTCGACATTATTTACCAAAATACAGGGTATGTCGACCCAATAAAATAGGTCTCGCCCATAGTAAATCAAATAAATAAGTACCGAATACATGTGCCCGTTTATTGTCTTACGAGTTAAGAGAACGCAACAATTACTAAGGTCTAGATTATTTACTTGGTCAGTATTCAAATAATATTATCCACCGTAGGTCCATTCAATACTTACACAGTACTAGTGTAATTCATCAGTTAAAGATCAATTGAATCTAAATCACACTACAATCTTTTACCTAACATGTGGTTTAATTCTGTCTAGACTGTGAATTAATTATTTATATTTCACAAGGCACCGATAATGTGATCTCTCTGTTCGACACATTGAACCACATTATCTACAATGTAAAATAAAGAAACTATGTTCGCACGACTAAATAAACCACGTACACTAACTTGACCAAAGACATACATTTCATTCAAAATGAGATTTAGAGTAATCAGAAAGCCAAGTTTCTGCAGTATACTCCAACAGCGCATGCTTCGACCCTATAATTTTTCCGAACAAACTTCTATTGCATTCATCTGAACTAACTTGAATATCCCCTGGTTCAACTGGAATAACTCCTGCCTCTTTTTTCGAAAGCTTGAAGGAACCAAGCTTAATTGTTAGTTACACCTCCATGGAGTGTGAGAGAGACTTGGTAGAGGTAGAAGATCTAGCGGAAGCACATACACAAACACGAACCCAAAACAATGGAAGGAAAAATGCAAAAAGAAAAAACTGAAAACGCGGAAGCCTGCTAGCTCACATATAGGGGGAGGGGACAAATACAAATTCGGGAATACTGAGAAACTGTTATCGATTATGAAAATGAATTTTCGTCAGCAAAAGAGGAAATCGAGCTCTCAAGAAAAAAAAAATCGCATCCTCAAAAAGAGAGACTTTTCTAGATCCCACATTAAATTTGCATCGTGAATAATTTCTAAAAATTGAAATATGATAGTTATTTTTTTAAAAAAAGATAAAATAAAATAGCGATAAATTTATGTAATTGAAAACTTTATAATTTTCCTTAATTTTTTTGTATTTTATTTTTTTAAAAAATTGCAATCTTTTAGATTAGTAAATATAATCAGTTTTGCAAAACCATAGTAAAATCCAAAAGCTTATAAAATAAAAGGTAAAAAGATAAAAATAGCTCCCTACAATAGTCAATACAATACGTATGCAATAACTAAAGGCGAATTACCTAGTATGGTTCTGTAAAGCTCACCCCCACCTGTCATCTACCTCCAAATATATCTTGTCATCTTGAACCAGAGAGATTTTTGCCTAACAATCCCACGTTTACATACAACTTTTACATACACATAACACCTCCCCTTCTCTCTCTACGTAATTTATCAAAATTTATTTAATAATTTAAGGGAATTCCATTTTCCTTTTTGATAAAAATTTCGGTTTAAAAAGGAGTGGAATAATCAAGAAAGAGAAACCAAGAGGAGAGAGGTTAGGGAGACAGAGGATGCGCCTGAGCATACCCTCTGTTTTCATTTATGTGTATTCCTCTCATTAAATCTTCTTCGTTTTCATCAATTTATTTCATCTGCAATCTGCTCGTTCCACAGGTGAGCCATTTATTTCAATCAAAAGAATGGAAAAAATTCGAACATTTCCCATTTCGCTGTGATTTTCTGTTTGATTTGGGGGCCTGTCTGATCTGTGCAAATTGTGATTTTTCCAGGGATCCGTGTGCTGAATCCCGATTGATGAATCAAGGATCCAATGATTTCGTAATAAATCCAGCATTTTCAACTCTGTATTTTGATCGGCTCCCGCTACTGGTTTCTATCCGATTTACAGGATAAAGGTGTGATTGATAATACTATTTTGGTTTGTTGTTCCTTTGATGTTTTTGCTTTCTCTGCACATCAATCAGATTCGATTTATCTTTTGATCGTCGGACGCCATCTTTAATTGTGCGATTCAGCTGGATTTATCTGCAATCTGTGCGATTCATCTAATCTTCTGAGTTGATCAGAAAGTTCTTCGGGATTCTGCCAGCAAATTCACTTTTCTTTGTAATTTAATAACGTTTTTGCTTGTTGTGCAAGACTGCTCCGATTTTGTTTCCTTTTGTTTACTTCATTTAAGAAGCTTTCGTGCTTGGTTAAGGACTGCGTGTTAATTGTGTGTGTTCCGAAATGGCAGGAATATGGAGACGGATCAAGGTAAACTTTTTGTTGGTGGGATTTCATGGGACACAAATGAGGAACGCCTAAGAGAATATTTCGGGACTTACGGAGAGGTGGTGGAGGCAGTGATCATGAGGGACCGAACCACTGGACGGGCCCGCGGGTTCGGTTTCATAGTCTTTGCCGACCCTGTGGTTGCAGAAAAAGTGGTCAAGGAGAAGCACATGATAGATGGACGCACTGTAAGTTGATTATGGTTGAACTCTTTGAGGATCATAGTGCATTTTTGCAAAAGGCTTCATTTTTCGTATTCGTGAACTTGTATATCTTCACCAAGTCAAAAGAACCAAATCTTTTGAAGATTAGCGCGCATTTTTGCGAATGGCTGCATTTTTCAACTTCTCCCTCTGTTACTATTCCAAGTTAAAATAACCGCTTGATAAATTTCTAGATGATCAATTGCTTATATATTTGCTTGAAATGGTTGCTGAAACTGAAAACAATAACTTAACTGTCTTTTTCGGTCTGTACTTAAAAGATGCTGGTCGAACTCTTTAAGTTGACTGCCTTTCAAAAAACAACTGAAAATTATTAGCATTTAAGTTGCTTCTGTTCGAACTCTTTGAGGATCATAGTGCTTTTTTGCGAAAGGCCGCATTTTTCGTATTCGTGAACTTATATAACTGCTCCAAGTCAAAAGAACCAAATCTTTTGAAGATCAGCGCGCATTTTTGCAAATGGCTGCATTTTTCAATTTCTCCTTCTATTTCTATTCCAAGTTAAAATAACCACTTGATAAATTTCTAGATGATCTATTGCTTATATATTCGCTTGAAATGGTTGCTGAGAACAATAACTTGACTGCCTTTTTTGGTCTGCACGTAAAAGATGCTGCATATTCATAGATCACTGACTATATATCTACACGTAGTTGATAACGAATGTCTGCCAGATGCAGATTACAATTTGGATAAGTCGAGCATAAATTTTGCTTGTAAAATCTTGTACATTCAACAAGAACTTCTTTTCCTGGTCTACATCATCTCATTTGTGTCGAGTTCCTGACGAATCATCCACTTTTTTCAGGTGGAAGCCAAAAAGGCTGTCCCGAGAGACGACCACAACTTGACCAACAGAAACAGCAGCAGCAGCAGCATCCACGGATCGCCCGTTCCCGGACGGACAAAAAAGATCTTCGTGGGAGGATTAGCATCCACAGTCACCGAGAGCGACTTCAAGAACTATTTCACCCAGTTTGGGACCATAACAGACGTCGTGGTCATGTACGACCACAACACCCAGAGGCCGAGGGGCTTCGGATTCATAACCTACGACTCGGAGGACGCCGTCGACAGGGTGCTCCACAAGACCTTCCATGAGCTCAACGGGAAAATGGTCGAGGTGAAGCGAGCTGTCCCCAAGGAGCTCTCCCCCGGGCCCACCCGCGGCCCGCTCCTTGGGTACAACTACGGCTTCAGCAGGGGGAGTGGCTTCCTCGGAGGGTTGTACCCTCAAGGGTACAACCTGAGCTCGCTTGGCAGGTACAACCCGTTAGCCGATGCACGGGCCGGGTTCTCCCAATTCGGGTCGCCTGCCTATGGGTTAGGCGTGAACATGGATCAGGGCCTGAATCCCGGTTTTGGAGGGCGTGTGATGAGCCCGTATTTCAGCAGTACCCAGAGCAGGTACAACACTCCTATTGGATATAACAGTACACACAACAGCAGCAGGGGTGGTGAGTCCTTCCTCAACTCTCAGTCGAGGAATGTGTGGGGGAATGGCGGGCTTGGTAATAATAATGCAGTGAGTAATTCTGGCTCGGGCTCGTATTTTGGTTCGAGGAGTGGTGGATTTGGGGTGTTTAGGAATGCCAACTGGGGAACTTCTAATAACAGTGGTGGGACTGTTGGTGGAGGCACCGTGGGTTATAGAGGTGGTGGGGAGAATAACTATGCTTTTGGTTCGGGTGGGTCTGGGAGGAACAGTGGGATGGGTGTGGGCTCTGTGTCGGCTTTTTCTGCATCTGGCAGTGGGTATGAGGGGTCTTATGGGGATTTTTACCGTGGGGGTTCTGTTTATGGTGATCCGACGTGGCAAACACCGTCTTCTGAGATGGGTAATTCGGGCTCGTTCGGTTATGGTCTTCGGAATTCGGAGGATGTGGCCGTTAAAGAGTCTGAGGATTTTGGAGTGGGGTATGGCGTTCCAAACAGACAGTCCAATAGAGGTATTGATTGCTTTTGTGTTTTGCTATTGCGTTTATAGTTATGTGTGTCTGTTTATTTAGGGTGCATTCGTGTTAAATATGGTGTGGATTTTTGATTGAAAAGCTGGATGCAGATGAGTTGGGACGAGTGTCCGTTGATGCAATT